CTGGAATCTCATACTAAAACCTGTAATATTAAAGGATCAACTAGATCCTATAGCAATTGCGGTACACCCCAGTGATCCTCATTTTGCTTTTTTCTTAAACAGAGTACTAGAAAGCATGACTATAGAAAAAAATATTAAAATCCTTCTTGATCTTTATCCTAAGTAGCTTCCGCTACCCTGGTCAGTGAATGGAATAAACATTGGAGTAAATATGCAAAAAACACAACAATCAATACTTATCCGTATTCTTAGGAACCCCCTTACTTCTATTCTTGCTATAGGAATTGGAGCCTACATAGGATTTACAAACAAGGCACTAGGTCTTTCTCTGAGTATTTACAGCGAATCGTATCAAGTTCTTCTCAAAATGACAGTACTCCCCATACTTCTCTCTGCTATTATTACTAGCTTGGGTAAATTTGTAGGCGTGATATCTTTAAGAAGAATACGAAGCAGAATTTTTCTCTACATTCTCATCACTTCGATGCTATATGCCGTCGTGGGAATAGTAATGGGAAGCTTTTTTAAGCCTGGTGATTTATCAGAAGAAAATAGAGAAATTATTTCTGAGCAGATCAGCCTTTTAAGCGACCCTCTAGAAGTAGGGCTTTATGACAGCAATGAAAGCTCAGAGGTTACAGATATACTTGACGAGTTTATTCCTAGTAATATCTTTGAATCTCTCTCTGCTAATAGGGTTCTTGCTGTGTTGGTATTTTCTGTTGTCTTTGGGCTTTCAATGGGGACTTTATTCAATCGGAAACAGAAACAAATAGTTATTGAATTTTTTGATGAGATATATGAAATATTTTCAAATATCATTTCTCAACTCATAACCCTGCTGCCTTTTGCTCTCGTTTGTATTATTTCCTCAGAAATAGCACGTTCAGGAATTAACATTATTATTTCAAGCTCTCAGCTTATTACTGTGTTTTATATTTGTGGTTCCATACTGATTGTCGCAAATATTATATATCTTTCAATAAATCAAAGAAAAAACATTTTTGCTACATTTAGGGACATATCATACCCATCCATTATAGCGTTTACAACACGAAATAGTATTGCATCTATGGCTATAGCTATTAGAACATTAGAAAATAAATTCAATATCGAACCTGAATTTGCCAAGAGCACTATGCCGCTTATGATGATACTTGGCCGTTATGGTAATATATTTTATTTTGCTCTTGTTACGCTTTTTGCCACCCAAATCTACTACATTGATGTCAATATTAGTATTATAATATTTCTTATTGCAAGTATTATTATGGCAGGTGTCGCAACAGCGGGTGCCAGCGGTATAGTTACTCTAGGTGTTCTTGGAATTGTTTTAGATCCACTGAGTATTCCCTTTGAAACCATTCTAGTCATACTTCTTATTATAGATGTGATTATAGACCCACTGAGAACCACACTTATTGTAAATACAAATGCTGTACTTACCGCGGTGCTTCATAAAAAATATGTGCGTGATCATGTGCGTGATCAGCAGAAATATGTGCAAGGAGTTGTTAAAGTTAGAACTTGATTGATTCAGTTATTACCAATTTTAGGCACCAATTTTAGACAAAACTATTTAGACAAAACTAATAATGGAAGAGAAAAGTAAGAACAACAGAAGAAAATTGGTTTTTCCTCTTAGTAGAATATTAGTTTCTGTTCTGCTCATTGTTGTTATTTCGCTTTTTATTGTTATCTCCTTGCTATTCTATTATCAAAATAGCAGTATGGCTGATAGAGTAGCCTCTCGATTTCAGTTTCTTATATCAACGCAGGTGGTAAGCAGTTTTACACAGTATTTCCATAACGCGGAGCATAATCTTTCTTCTCTATATAGTTTGATTGAACAAGAAGTATTAGATACTACTTCTCAATCAAAACTTCATAGCACCATGAAAATTTTAATAGAATCAGATCCTTTACTAAATGCTCTCTATTTTGCAGATAGTAATGGAAATTTTCACATGGCAAAAAGAATGCCAGATGGCAGCGTGAGTAAAAGGCATGTAAGACGCAACGCGAAAACAGTAATTAGTAAATGGGAGCATGAAAATGTAGAATATGAAGTTAACTTCCCATTATACCAAGAAGACAATCTCGACACTGGATACGATCCTAGAAAACGTAATTGGTACAAGAATGCGCAAGTAGATACAATTACATGGAGCGATCCTTACATCTTCTTTACTGATAAGATTGTTGGTATTACAGGAACAAGAAAAATTATGGGGCTAAACAGAGAGTTTGTCATTGCATTGGATATTGGGCTAAACTACTTGCAGAATTTTGTTGATGATCTTTTTGTATCTACTTCGGATATTATCTTAGTAACAGATGAAAATAGAAAAATAATTACATACCAAGGCGCAACCGCAGGTGGTATAAGTAAAGTTGATTATTCTCGTCAGAATGATGTGCTTACTCTTGACACTATAGATTTAATCCCAGAATTAGAATTTATTATTAACAACAAGGAAAGTGTTGAAAAAGAAAAAGAAAAAAGGGGTGAAAGAACATTTATTGAATTACTTTCATCTATATTTTTTCGCACAGAAACTATAAATGACCTAGAAGCGCTGCAAATTAATACAAACATAAAAATAATTCCATTTTCATACGAAGCTGAACAGTATATCTATTCGTTTGCTAAATTGGACTCATTTAATGGATTGAATTGGGATTTTCATTTTCTTATTCTAGACAAATCGCTTGTTGGAAATTTTCAAAATACTTTAAGATTGGCTTTGGTTATCATGGGGCTAATTTTCTTTGTCTTTATCTTTTTCTACTCAAAATACTTGGAGGGTGTTTCGGAAAAAATTAAATCTCTCTCAGCTATGATGGAGAACATTGAAAAATTGAAGCTTGACACATATTTTGTTAACCACGATAACATTAAGATAGCCGAAATAGAGAATATGGGAAACATCTATAATCGTGTTATTAATAGTCTTTTATCGTTTAGAAAATTTCTCCCTAGGCAGATCATTCAAACCTATATAAAAGAAAACAAATAAATTCAAATCAATATGGAGCAGAAGGAGAATATTACCTTTTTCTTTACAGACATAGTATCATTCACTACATTGAGCGAAAAAAATTCGCCTGAAAACCTTGCTGCTGCGTTAAATATTTATTTTAATGAGTTCTCAAAAATTATAGTACAAAACACTGGTATCATAGATAAGTACATAGGAGATGCTATAATGGCGGTGTTTGGAATTTTTGAGTCTGATGAGACTGAACATAATACCAAAAACAGTGCTGAACTAGCATGTTATGCCGCTCTAAAAATACAGCTTTTACATACTTGGGTAAACGATCGTATTAAGAAAAAGGGCATTCCTATTGTCTTTAAGACAAGGATTGGTATTAATTCAGGTTCTGGGCTTGTAGGTATGATTGGTTCTAATGAGAGATTAAACTACACCTCTATAGGAGACGCTGTGAATCTTGCAAGTCGCCTAGAAGGATTAAATAAGCAGTTTAATACCAGTATTATTATTTCAGAATCTACTATGCAAATGCTAGGGCCTGCATTTAAGTTTCGAAAACTTGGTACAGTTTCGGTAAAAGGCAAGGAAGTCCCGTCATCTATTTACCATTTGTATGGATACTCAAAAAAGAAAGAGGAAGAAGCATTAGCTGCTGCCTCCGACGAAAAAACAACTGAGCAATCTAACGTACCTAGCGTAGTAGCTGAAAATAATAGCGTGGAAGACACAACATACGGAGCCAGTGATGTCGGGCAAGCATAACTACTAGTAAACGATCCAATGAAAACCATAGGTATTGTAGGCGGAGTGGGGCCAGAAGCTGGTGTTGACCTGCACAAAAAAATACTTCAAAATACTATAGCTCATTCTGACGCAGAGCATCTCTCTTTATTCCACATTTCCTTAAGCAGAGATATTACTGACAGAACAGCATACTTTTTTGATAAAACATTAGAAAATCCTGCCAAGAGCATATTTAATATTATTTCCATCTTGCATAAGCACGACTGTACTGTAATAGGAATTCCTTGCAATTCTGCTCATATTCCTTGCATACGAAATGAGTTAGATACATTAATCTTTAAGGCCTTTCACAACACTATCTATCTTGCTCACATGGTAGAGGAAGTGGGAAAACATCTTCTGTCTCGAGGTATAAAAAAAGTAGGCCTGCTTGCAACAAAAGGAACAGTGTATTCTCGCCTATACCAGGATGCACTTGAAAAATATTCTATACAGGTAGAGGCGCCTCTCTCGCACAAACAAATAACTGCTGTGCATAATAGCATATACCATAAAGAGTATGGTATAAAGTCAAGCACAGAAATAAAGAGTGAGGCACAAGAAATATTGGTGCAAGAGAGTAAAATCCTTTACCAAACACAAAAAGTTGAGGGGGTTATTATGGGGTGCACAGAAATACCTCTTGCCTTATCTCAAGATATGGTCGAAGTACCTCTTATTGATCCAGGTCTATTACTCGCCAGAGCTTTAGTTAGGGAGAGCTGTCCTGATAAGCTAAAACCATTATAGCTTATAGCTTAGCTCTTGCGAGAGCGGACTAGATACATGCTACTTTGAGTACATTGCTGGAAATACTGCTGTACTCTGTTATGTAAGGCTACCCAATAATCCAAAATGTTGCATACGTAATAATAATGATAATCATTCTCCCAATACTGTCTATAATAATAACCTTCAGGTGAGTCATGCGAAATAAATCATTTGCAATGCTTATAAGCAGTATGCACAGTACAGTAAGCAGAAAAGCTAGAAAGCCTAAGTAAGAAACTAAAAAGAGCAACCATGCAAAAAGGAAGGTAGTAAGAAACTGCACGAACATGGGGATAAACGATCCACCCTGCACATCCTCCATGGTTTTATTCTGTCCTGATAGCCAATGTTTTGAAACCTTAGGAAGACTATAGTACACTGCACTTGCTATATAGCTAAGCACAGTAGCAATAACTATGCCTAAGAAATTCAAAGAAAAAATATTCATGTATAACCTCTCTTTATTATTGTACAAGAAACACAGCTGATACAACTATAAAGCGAGGGCTCTCTAAGACTAGCTCATCCAGTCTTTTCTATCCTCGGGGTTCCATTTTGTTGTTATTTTTATAGTATCAGTGAAAAATTCCACATTAGACCATCCAGTAATCCCACCTTCCCCAAAACGAGAATGCTTGATTCCTCCAAACGAGAAAGGTTCGCGTGGTACAGGAATGCCTATATTTACCCCAATCATACCTGCCTGTAATCTCTTTGTTGCCTCTGCTGCTACTTTTCCGCTTTGAGTAAATATAGACGATGCATTGCCGTAGGGGGAGCGGTTTTGTAATTCGGCTGCCCTCTCCATGCTATCTGCATGTATGAGTTCTAACGTAGGACCAAATACTTCCTCTAAGGGCATTTCGTCTTCTCTTCCTCGCCAATCTATAATGCTAGCCCCAATATAGTACCCCGACCCTGGCCCTTGGATAGGGGTAGTGCGACCATCGAGAAGTATCTTTGCTCCTCTTTCTTGTGCCTTATCCAAATATTGTGAGATTTTCTCTACTGCTTGCTTGCTTATAAGAGGGGGGAGGGTTATACCAGGTACAAGAGTCTTTGCTTGGGACAGAACTGCATCAACAATCCCTGTAATTTCTCCTAAGCTGAGTAGAACTGATGCAGCCATACAACGCTGCCCTGCCATTCCACAAAAAGCAGAAATTATATCATCTGCAACCTTGGGATGCGCATCCTCTGCAACAATAAGATAATTCTTAGCTCCACCAAAGCAACGTGCTCGCTTTAAGTTAGCACTTGCTCGTGTGTATACAAGTTTTGCTATTGGAGTGGACCCCACAAAGCTAAGCCCTGCAATGGAGGGGTTATCACATATCTCTTCTACAACATCTTTTGATCCTAACACTACATGTAAAAGTCCATCAGGAAGACCCGCCTGCTTCCAAAGCTCTGCAGAGCGTATGGCGGAAATAGGAGTATGCTCCGAAGGTTTGAGGAGTACTGCATTGCCCACCGCTAATGCATTTGGCACGGTCCAATGGGGCACCATGATGGGAAAATTAAAGGGGGTAATAGATGCCACTACCCCAATAGGCACACGTCTGTACTTACATTCGATACCTTTGCTTACCTCTTGAACGCTACCCGAAATAAGCTGAGGCATAGAGCATGCAAAGTCAGTAAGCTCTATTGCCTTGTCTACACCTGCAAGTGCTTCGGGCATTGCTTTGCCGTTTTCTTTATGGCATATTTCAGCTAGCTCATCTCTATGCTTTTTGAGTAGCCCTCGATAATTATAATGCACCTCCACCCTCGCTTTTGTAGTGAGATTTGCCCAGCTACTTTGAGCCTGCGCTGCATCCTGCGCTGCCTTCCGTACATCTTCTTTACTTGAATCAGCACCTTGGGCAAGAATACTCCCATCTAGAGGGGAATAAATATCACGCTTTGCTCCACTCGCCTCTACAATGTTTCCATGTATGTAATTTCCTAACTTATATTGCATTTTTTCCTCTTCTTCTTAGCTTATCGTATGTTATTGTATTTCACTCATTGATACTGGTCTCCCTTCTTTTAAGGAGAGTTTTGCAGCATATGCAAGCCTTACTGATTCTAAGCCGTCTTCAATTCCGCATGGAGCTGGTTTTTTCTTTACTATGGCATCAAAGAAATGTTTTTGCTCTAATATATATGCTTCCTTATATCGCTCTAAAAAGAAAGGGAGGGGCTTCTCTGTTAGCACGCCACTATTACTGCTTATTTCTAAGCGAGACTCAGTATCGTTCCCTATGCATAACGACCCCTTATCGCCTAGTGCTTCTAGGCGTTGGTCGTATCCATAACTTGCCTGCCTGCAGTTTTCGATTACGCCTATTGTACCATTTTTGCATTGAAAGCTTACTATTGCGGTATCGACATCACCTAGTTTTCCTATTTCCTTATCTACAAGCACTGCAGCGATGGCGTGGAGCCCTTCTACTTCAGATCCTGTTTGAAATCGAGCCATATCAAAATCGTGAATCATCATATCCATAAATAAACCACCTGATTCTTTTATATACGAAAGGGTGGGGGGTGCGGGATCTCGAGAGGTAATTCTTAGCATGCGGAGTGTGCCTATTTTGTTTGAATGTATTGCTTTCCTTGCCGCAATAAAGTTATGATCAAAACGTCTGTTGAACCCCACTTGATATACTATAGGGCTTTTTTTCAGTGCCTTTCTTACTTCTTTTATTTTATCGAGCTCCATATCAACTGGTTTTTCACAAAATATATGTTTTTTTGCCCTTATACCTTGCAACGAAAATTCACTATGGGTTTCGGTGCTCGAACATATAAATATTGCTTGTATTTCTTCATCATCAAATATATCCTTTGGGTTTCGTGTGATGTTCTTAATACCATATTGCGAAAGCTTTTTCGCCATGCTATCGTTCATATAAGTGTCGGCTACTGCTTTAATTTCTACTCTTGCGGTTCTATGCATGGCTTGCACATGCACTTGACCAATGCGACCGGCTCCTAAGACGCCCACAATAATCTTTTTCATTCCTTGCTCCTCGTATCTTTCCAAATCTTTACTTTTGGATCCAAAAGCCATGCATGCTCATCAACAAACTGCCTACTGTTGGGTCCAAATTTTTCGCCTTCTGTATGAGCTATCATCCAAATATAGTACATAGGGTAGCCCGGTGCTGCTACTTGGGGGTGAACAAGCCAGGGGTCTATGATCATAGTTGATTCATGTGCTATTGCATATACATTCTCGCCTACTTGCCCAAATCCAAATCCCTGGCTTGGTGCGTCGGGGAATCTGTAATGATATATCTCGGGTTGTGGGTGCTTGTGTGGAGGATAACTTGACCACTTACCAGGAAAATTGATAACTTCGCCCAGTACCATTTCTGAAAACGTTGCATTCTTAGCATCAAATACAGTTCGTACTATTCTTGTTGAGCTATCCTGCATGGTTCCTTCACCAAATCTTTGCTGACGTATATGCTCGGGGGCGTAATACACCGCCTCAAAGTCTGTATTATTTATTGCTTTTTGCACACAGAGTTCTGAATCTTCGTGGGCTACGAGTGTTACCTCTGCTCCTTTAGGAACCTGCAACACATGGGGAAGCTCGTCTAGGAGCGAATTGCGCATAGCAATATTCTTCTTGTTTGCATACTTGAATGCGATAGAACCATCCATAAGAAGAAAGGCCCGTTCTTTTGCTTCTTTTGAATGGAACACCGCCCCACGTGAGAGTTTGAGTATACCGAAATCCATGTGCATCTGTGAGTGTACGCCATCTAATTCTGTAATGGCGTTGTAGCCTTCCTGAAATGTAGTCTTGTTATAGATAAGCATGGTTAGACCTCTATCATATACCCTCGAATAAAGCGGACAAGCTCATCGTATCCTTGAGCAAACTGCAGTAACGTGCGCTTAGTGGCTCCATAACTATTGAATTGTCGTTCAGTGAGCCCTTTAGGTTCATACGCTTTTTTGAAATCTGGCACTTTTTGTGTGAGTTGCTTGACAATACCACTATCGACGGGGGTGCTCATTCTATTTTGCACTGCAATTGTGCTGTTATTAAATTTTACCTGCCAGGCATACGGAATGGTTTCAATAACATCTCCTCCTATAAACTCAGACCAGTGATAATGGTTTCTATACGCTGCTGCAAGTAATTTACTTCTGTAGCCTTTCTCTTTGTATATTTCATAGGCTCTTTTAAACACCGCAACACCTGCCCACTCTAAGCATTCTGGGTCAAGGATAATGCCTTCCTGTGATGTATATGCCTTTAGCCAATCGTCTAATCTCCCTACCATAATGGTGCATACTGGTTGTATGGCCGCGTTGCTTTTACCTTCCTTCTCCCTTCTGTCTAAAGCTCTTTCTACAGCCTCTGCAATAGCAAGGGACTGGGGAACAGTAAAACTTACTGTTGCATTTATGTTTACCCCTTGGTACGTTAGCTCTTCTGCTGCGCAAATCCCTGCCTCTGTTGCAGGGATTTTAACCTGCATATTTTTTGCTAAGCTGTGAAAGTGCAGCCCTTGCTGTACTAGTTTTTCTGTGTTTTTATAGTATTTAGTGTTCGTTTGAATGGATATGCGACCTGTTCCCTTCTTTGGATCAAACTTCTTTTCAAGTAGCTTTGCCCCCTGAATTGCTGCGTACTCAATAAGTAGCCACGCTATGTCATCTTCTCCTGCATTGGGGTAATCCTTGAGTGCTTTTTTTAATGTTGCTTGATACGTGGAAAACTCTTTTGAGAGTACTGTGTTTACTATTACAGGGTTGGTGGTAGCCCCTGTTGCCCCTCTTGCTATTGCGTACCTCAGTTCTACGAGAGAGCAGGAATCGTTCCAGTACTGTGTATTAGTACGTAGTACCATCTCTTGTAGGGGGGTAGTGGTTTTATTCGTAGTTTGTTTTGTATTAGATTGTTTTTTCATCATACATAAGCTCCCGTGACAGTGATTATACATAAAGCACATTGCATAAACATGTATGCCAGGATTGTACGTCTACACCTTGCTGAGAATAATAATGCAATGTGATTACATGTTACTCTACTTATAGTATAGCATAAGAGCATTGGTGTATTTCAATACACCTCATACCTGTAACGCTGCTATAATTCATGTTTCAAGTGTTCTATAATCATTTCTTTTGTTTCTGATATCTCTAATAACGATTTTATAAATAGGTGGATGTTTTCTTTTTGGTGGTATGTTCTTACATCGGTTATCTCATCGAAATCTATGTGGAACAAGTTACACAACTCCCTCCCTGTATACGCTTCATCAATTTCTATCATATTCTTAAATCCCACAACTACCTGCTCTTTACTTGTAGCGTTAAAGGAACACATGACTGGCTTTACTATAAACTGTATTTTCTGAGAGATAAATGCAAGATAATCACGTAAATGCTTGATTTCTCCTGCAGATTTTTTTGTATCAAACTGATCTCCATCCTTTACTTCTATTACATAGCAATTGTGAATATTGTTTTTTGTTTTCTCAAAAGCCACAAAATCAGGTTCAAAAGACTTTTGAGCTATTAATGATTTTTTGATTTGTGTTTTTGTTGCTACGTACACACCAGTGGGATATTTTTCTGCTTGTAAATACGCATCTATATCTTCTATTTTACAGCATTTCTCCCAAATAAGACTCTCTAATTCGTTCCCCGCTGATATTACAGTGGCTTGCAATCTGCTTATTAAGTTGCCTAATTCTTTATTTCCTAGTATTCTAGTATACCCACTAGGAGACTGGTTGGGTCTTCTTCCCTTTTGCGTTTCTTGAGAGAACACTCATGCCCCATGATATCACACCCTAAGAAATTTCTATTAGATTTTTTACATGCTTCGAACACAGAAAAACTTCCACTTGCAGGGTCTATAACTATGTCATCTTCGTTGCTTACTGCCTCGATAAGCGCTTTTTGAAGCTCAATAGGTTTGTTGTGTGCATGATTTCTCTCTATTTTTTCCTCCCATACATCCTTAATCTTATGATTGGTCCACACACCCTTCGCTCTCTTTGGTGTTTTTTGTATATATACAAGTATTCACCTGTACGTCTTGTTCTATATCCCATACCCATTTTTAATTTATTCCATGTAATTAAATCAACTATTTCTAAACTAGTACCATTCAACTACTTACTAACACCATTGCATACAATTAATTTATCTACCCGCAAAAAGAAATGCCCCATGGGGTGTAATACTCTGTCTATTTGATTGATGAATTCACCTATGACATTATCGGTCATTTGAGGCAATTCCGCTCTTGCTCTTTGTCTTCTTCCTTCGTTTCCATATTTTTGCTTATCTAGTATCCCCCTACATTGTGAGTCAACAAACACAATAGAAAAGCATTGGATTCTAGTTTACGCAATAATTCCAAACCATCCATTCTCATTGTGGTATTTAATTGTATCCCTTTAGGTAGTTTTATGGTTGCTTGTTTGTATTTCTTTTGTCTGAATATACAATATTTGGGTTATGTTGTGTGTTATTTCTTCGCTGTACCATGATATTCCACGTCTACTGGCTTTATCAGTGCATTACTTTCGTTCATCTTGTGCACTTGTAGTGCCCTTTTCATTTGCACCTTTCAAGTATGCTCTATAAATCAGTAATGTCTTAAGCAATCATGCTTAAGTACTCCAAAATATATAATCTTATTCAAGAGAACGTATGTATTCTCTATTTCTTACAGCACTTTGGAATGGATCTGATGTTACGTCATCCAATATATCCTGCTCGACAATAATCCAACCTTCATAGTTCATTTTTCGTATCTCTTGCATAATAGATGGAAAATCTACCGTTCCCTTTCCTAGCTCTGGAAAAATTCCATCTCTATAATAGCGAAAAACATCCCACTCTTCTTTGTTTCCACGTATGCGGAGGGCCTCATCGCAATCCTTAAAATGTATGTGTTTTATGCGAGAGCTGTATTTTTTTATTCCCTCTGAAGAATTTGCTCCTGTTTGTGCGTAATGTCCCGTGTCAAAGCAAAGACCTAGTACTTTTGTTCCATGTAATAAATCTTCGATCTCTTCGTCTGTTTCTATCCATGTTCCAGTGTGGTGATGAAACACAACCTCTACCCCTGTCTCTGATAGTACAGTATCAGCTAAGATATCTGCATTTTGCATAAAAGACCGCCACTGGTCAGGATGCTTGTTTCTCAAATAATGCTTACTCTCTATCCTTCCAGCATATGCTACCCGTTCCTTATCTGCAAAGGGATCGTTACCAAGTATTATATAATGCCTTTCTTTAGGAAAGGCTGTGCTTAACAAGTTGGCTACGCGCAAGCACTGCTTTTTATCATCTTCAATGCTATTTGAATCTTGTAGGCGTACGCTTACCCACGAAGCCATAATAACAAGCTGATAGCGACTAGCAAATTCTTGAAGCGCATGAGCCTCGGTGGGTAAAAACCCCCAATCTCCTAACTCACTTCCAGCATAGCCACTACTACTTATTTGTTCCAAGACCTGACTTGCTGTAAATCTATTCTGTGTTATTGTTTCTATTATACCCCACGAGCAGGGAGCGTTGCCAATATGAATCAATGTATTACTCCTTTATATTTATATTCGACTAGTGTGATAGCTAGCCGTTTTATTAAAATGCGGTAGAAAGGACTTGAACCTTCACGACCTACGGTCACTAGCCCCTCAAGCTAGCGTGTCTACCTATTCCACCACTACCGCATATAAGCTATTATATAACTGCCCGCATACATAATGTAGCAAAGCTGGTGTATATTTATATTACAGCATACAATTTGCTATAATCATTATAATGCAATTTAGCCATATTTATGTTGAAACAGCTGTGCTTGAACACCCAGTAAGCCGCAATGTGCTTGCTCGATTCCCCCATGCAAACGTTATCCCTATACAGAATTACAAACAGATGTTTAATAGAAAGAAACAAAATTTCACCCTGCAAAGAAAAAATAGAATGCTACTACTAGCAAGGCAGAAACAACGTTTTAGCTTTTTAGGCACTGAAAGAGTGCAGAGCTTTGGTGATGCGCATGTATACTCCTGCTCTATGATACGAAACTGCCCCTATCACTGTGAGTATTGTTTTCTCTCAGGCATGCACGAATCTGCGCATATTGTACTATATGTTAATATTGAGGATTTCAAGAAAGAAATAGAAATGCTATCTCAAAACCACTTCGTCCAAGACCCAAGTGCACGCATATATCTTATTGCTTCCTATCTTAGTGATCTTCCAGCAACAAATTCAATATACCCTCTCTGCTCAACATGGAGGGATATAGCAGACGCTCTTCCTAATGTGGATTTAGAAATACGAAGTAAAAGCGACGCGTATAGCGTACTGCGTTCCATATCGCTCTCTCGTAACGTGGTGTTGGTGTGGTCTCTTTCTCCCCCAAGCGTTATAAGCAGATACGAACACGGAACCGCATCTTTTCACACAAGAATACTGCAGATACAGAGGGCTATAGAAGATGGATGGAGAGTGAGGGTTTGCTTTGATCCCATACTCTACTATTCTGGATGGGAAAAAGAGTATAAGGAAGCTCTTATTACCCTGCTTAAGCACTGCCCTGCCGATAAAATAGAGGCGCTTAGCTATGGTGTTTTTCGCATGGGGCAGGACCATCTACAACGGATGCGAAAAGTTCGTCCGGCACTTCCTTTGCTCTATAAAAATGTGGTTATTGAAAACGGCTTAGGAACATACAACAGCACAAAACTTGCTGCCCTTCGGCAGGGTTTTATTGATTTTGCATCCTACTATTTTCCTTCTGAAAAAATATTTTTTGTACATGGCTAAACCCCTCGCTTTCGGTGGCACGTAGTATGCGATTATACAAAGCTGGGTGCTGCTCTTGCCTGGGCCAGCAGAGATAGAGTAAGTGCAGTGCAAGTCTGTCGGCGTTTGCAAAACTTTCGTATAAAAATCGTGCCATCTCCTCCCAAGTATGAAAGACCTCGAATAAAGTCCACTGTTCTTTTTTGATATGCGACATAATACCCTTCTGCTTTTCCTGTGTTATTGGTGCAAGAAGTAACCCTATGCGAGCGTGGTTTCTTATATGCTGAGGGAGTAAAGATAGAGAGAGTGCTTGAAGTGTGTTACAAAGCTCGGCTGTGTTTTCTATACCTGCTACACAGGTAAGTGGTGCTTTCTCTGTCTTTAGAAGAGTGCTGTTACGAGGTATGTGTACATGTATAGATGTAGCATCCCTTACGGTAAGGGCAAGCAAGGTCGTGCTGGGGGCGTAGTGCTTGTACGTAGCGCCAGGAACTTTGCGAGCTACATGAACCTGCTCGTTGGTAGTAACACTAAGCAACGCTGTAGGAACTGCCTTCTGTATATCCTCTGCTTGTATAGCGCCTGGGCGAACAAGGCGTGCTATGGGTTGGGGGTATTGTTGGCTTACATAAGTACAATCAACTATGCTCGATTCTAAACCGTACTGACACTGCCCCCCATCCACAATTGCCACAACCTTTCCTGCCATTGCCTCCCATGCCATAAGCGGGTTGGTAGGGCTGGGTTTTCCGGATTTGTTTGCGCTAGGTGCAGCAAGGGCAGTTCCTAGTTCTCTTAAAACATTTCTAAAAATAGGGTGGCTTGGGATACGCAGTGCTATGGTACAAGTCCCTGCCCTTGCTATGCTACTACTTCTGTTGTTGGCATAACAAATAACAGTAATAGGACCAGGGGAGTGGGCGTGTAAAATGCCTAATGCTAACTCTGCGCTTTTTCTATGCAGTTCTGTTTCCTTGCTCATGTACTGCTCTGCTTGTTCTAAATCTACACAATGCACAATAAGCGGGTTGTCGGTTGGTCGTTCTTTTAGTTCAAATACTTGCAAACAAGCGATGTCAGAATGTACATGTGCGGCAAGTCCGTATACCGTTTCTGTGGGAAGCACTACAGTTTGCTCCATGCTAAGATACTGCACTGCCTTTTTGTATTCATGTGCCTCTAGTAATTCGGTTTTCATACCGTATTTTTGTTTTCCTTATAGCCAGTATAGTATACCTTTGCAAGAAACAAAGAGCATGTACAAGCGCATATGCTGCCTTGCTTTTATCATGCTACAATAAGTAATATAGAATGAATAAGCAAAACATCGATTCGAAAAATTACTTTGGCTCACTTCGAAGATACAGTGAGCACTTGCAGGCAATAGAGTCCACGTTTAAGCGCTGGGGTTACCATCCAACATTACTCCCCCTTATTGACATAGAAGCACCATACTCTCAATTCTTAAAAAATAGCAAGGACCAGTTATTTAGGGCCCTCAATGCAGAGAGGGACCTTGTTGTGCTTCGCTCTGATAGTACATTGTTCCTCTCAAGAATTCTGGGTTCTCACCTTAGCGAACACCAAGTCCCACTACGCCTCTACTATTCTAATGCGGTTATGCACTCTGTAAATCAGCATGATGTTGTGCAATGGCAAAGTGGAGTTGAGCTCATTGGGGAAAAATCTCAACTTGCAGAAATCGAGCTTATTGCTTTGCTGCACAATACCATTTCTAATATGATACCTACATTCCATCTTCATATTGGTTCCATTGCTCTTACACATGAATTGCTCAAGACTAGCAACGTGAACAATGAAAGCGAAAACTATCCTCTCCTTATCCAATACATCAAACAACAAAAACACAAGGAGCTTCAGCAATATGTGCATAACAATGTGTTAGAGCTTATATTTGATATTGTAGATGCTAAAGAATTTAGCCAGAAACGGAAAAAGCTTGAGAATATAATGGGTAACAGCAACACTGCACTTGAAAACTATTGTAGTTATTTTGAGCCCTTGCTGGAGATGGACAAAGAAAATCGTATTCGTTGTGATCTCTCTGAATTAGGAAGCCATAGTTATTATAGCGATACCATCTACACTGTCTATACCTCAAAGCACCCCGTCCCCCTCGCACATGGTGGGCGTTATGATACATTTCTTAAGTATTTTGGATTTGATACAGCAGCTATAGGGTTTACATTATTTCCTCACCTTATCATTGAAGACTTGGTAAACTGGAGCCCAGTGCAAGCGCATAGAGCTAGCCCTTTTTCAGAGCTTTATGCAGGGTCCTTTCCAAGCAAAGAAAAGATTCTCAAAACCCTTGCTAAATTGCAAGATACAGACGCTGCACAGCGGAGACATGAAACATAGAACTGTAACCCTTGCAAAGCATATGCAGCGATGGCTTATAGGAATACTCCTTGTACTGTTACTGGGCGGCACAGCGCTCTATTTTGCTCGCAATATAATTACCCTCCGTTATCTAGAACACAAAATAAGAAACGCATTTGGTATTAATTTGAAAATAGAGGGTCTTGATTTTGATTTATTTCGCTCGCGTATAGACATTGCAAGGTTTTTTATCGCTCACGAGGAAAACACATACCTGATTGTATGCAAGGGTGCATCACTATCACTTTCCCTCTCGTCTCTGTTTTTTAATAACACCATAGATATACACAATGTACTTATCAAGGATATACGACTAGACACACCAAAGCAGAAATCGCATTCTACACACTTAGATCATTCATCATCTGCGTTGCCTAGAATAAGCGATTACATTTCCCTTATTCCTCTTCAGGAGTACTTTGAAAACCATGTACAGTACTTGTCCAGTGCCGTATGGCTCTCTTCCGTACAGCAAGAAAGCAAAAGTATAGAGAAAGAGTTACATAGAAGCACCGCCGCTGTAAATACAATACATACCTCTCTATTATCTGACAAGCAACACAATGCATTAGAGCGTGCTTCGCTTGCCACTATACAGCAATACATGGAAAAGACTACTGCTGATTATAAAAAAGTAGAGGCAGAAATTATAGCCATTAAAGAAGTGAGCGCTCTACTTGATAAGCTTATTGCAAAAATTCATAGAGACTCTAGGCGCATAGAGCAATTACTGCGTAGCGACAGTGTATTCTTGCATGACAAAATAAGCACAGCCACAGAAATTGGGAAGGTAATAAGCAGGGTATTGATAGCCGAACAACTGAAACAATACGGCGTACGTTATAGGAGGATGCTAGAGAACACGCTTCGCTTCTTTGCCCCACACTTGCAATCGAATAGCACAAAGAATACAAAACCCCTACTACCACTTTTTTTACTTCCTTCGGTGTTTGATGATACAATTACTAGCCAGCTAAACACGGACTTTGATACTATCCATATAGCTCCCCCTGAGGAAAATACATCGATATCTCCCCTTGATATTAAAAATATTCCAGACATAAAAATAGATACAGTAGAATTAGACAAGATATCTACAGAGCTTAAGAAAACGGGAGAACCCATACACATACAAGCGCCAACAGCGCCTCGCAAAGTGGAGTTAGAGCAAGCAAGCGATCAGCTAGCAGATACAAGCACAGCTACGCTTGAAGACACAGCAATAAGCACAGATAACACAGATAGCAACGAAAATAATACGCTTACTACAGAAGCAGTTGTGCATGCTTCTGCGCTGCGCATACGGAAGTTTTCTCTTGGCATGGCACTAAACGAAACCCAGCGCATCACTGTGAGTGGAGAAACTGCAATTAATGCTGATTCTACAACTATGAATGCATTGCACTTTCGTGTGAAAGAAGTGGGAACATCACTGCTTGCGCGGGGTATTGGGGTGCTTTCATTCCACAACGCACACCCCTTACTGGAAAGCAAGTTGATACTTGAACGTATACAAACAAATTTCCATAAGGGGATGGGCCTGCTTCCCATCGACAGTATGAATGCAATGCTAGATGCAGATATACGTCTTAATATGCAGAACGCTTACAGAGGTAATGCAGATGCTCGTATACGCATAGAAGGAATAAGAGTAAATGGAAGCGCTGCCCCTTACCAGACGCGCACTGAGAACAGCATAGAAGCCCTTCGCTCCATTGAACTTACAACTAACGTTCGTTTTGAAAAAGGTGAGTTACATATAAAACAACTTACTGTTTCCCAAGAAGAAAAGCTGGGTACCCTACTCTTACCATTGGTAGAAGAAAACATATCAGAGTTACAAGCTTTGCTGTACGCAAGTATCGAAGAGTTTATACATGAGAAAATAAAAAGTGAGGAGCAGCGTAGTATGTACATGCTTAGCGCACTACAGGATGCAATAGAAATACAGCAAACTACTATAGCGCGTGTATACCGTGCAGTGCGTGCTGAACGAGATCTACTAGGAGTCGCCATTCAATCTCGTATGTCGGAAAGTATAAAACAAAAAACAAAAGAACTGCAAAGAGGTATAGAAAAAAGTATTGATGCACTTGAACGAGCTTTGGGTTTTTCTGCTGTGCAATAGTGAGGGTTGATTTTAACCAGCTACAACTGATGCTCAAACACTCACTCTAATGTTGCTTTTATTCTTCGCACTCCCATAGACGAGGACTGCTCTTTTACTATCTTAAAAAAACCTAGTTTTTTGGTATTTTCAACATGTGGACCACCACAGACTTCCTTAGAGAAATCTCCTATGGAGTACACAGTAACTTTTTCATCATATGTATCCGTAAAGAAAGCGAGGGCCCCTTCTTTTTTTGCGGCTTCCAAGGATTTTGTTTCAACGCGTATGGGGAGAGAGGCTTGGATGGCGTCATTTACCATAGCCTCAACCCTCGATATCTCCTCCTCAGTCATTTTATTAGGATGAGAAAAATCAAAGCGTAGCCGTTCTTTTGTAATGTTGCTACCTTTTTGCGAAACATGTAAACCTAAAACTATACGAAGCGCCTGATGCAGAAGGTGGGTAGCTGTGTGCAAACGTACCACTACCTCTGAAGCATCTTGTAAGCCACCCTTAAACGTTTGTTTTACGTCAGTTTTTGACTTTGCTTGATGTTCGTTATAGGCTTGCGCAAAACCTTCCTCGTCTATTTCTAAGTTGTGCTCATGTGCTAGTTCGCTACTTATTTCTTTAGGAAAACCATACGTGTCATAGAGATGAAATAAATCCTTACCTTCTATTCTTTTTTTACCTTTTAACTGCATATCAGCAAAGAGTTTTTTAAGTTCCCTTTCCCCCTTATCCAAGGTTTGAAAGAATCTTTTTTCTTCTTTTTGTAACTCAGAGAAAATAGTACTTTTTTCTTGCTCAAGGCGCGGATGCTCCACTGCATAGATCTTTACTACCAGCTCTGCAAGCTCTGAAAGAAAAAGCGATTCTATGCCCAGCTGTCTTCCAAAACGCATAGCTCTGCGAATAAGACGTCTGAGTATGTATCCCTGTCCGATATTAGAAGGAAGTATAGCACGCTGGTCTCCAAGGATAAACACAGCTGCTCGTATATGGTCTGCTATAATACGCATAGCTCGGGTTTTCCGCTCGTCGACATCAAAGCGCTCTGAACTTAATGTCTCTATATGTTGGATGATAGGAATAAAAAGCTCTGTATGATACACAGACTGCTTTTTTTGCAATATAGCTGCGCTGCGTTCCAGTCCCATGCCTGTGTCTACACATCTTCGCTGTAAAGGAAGAAAACCTCCTGCTGCTGTCTTGTTATATTGCATGAATACATTATTCCATACTTCAACATATCTTCCATCGTCTGTGCCAGGCGTACTATGAGAATCCTTGTTGTTCTTTGTGTCAATAAATATCTCGCTGTCCGGACCGCAGGGACCGGTTTGTCCAGCTGGGCCCCACCAGTTATGTTCTTCGCCGAGAAAAAATATTTTGCTACGGGGAATACCTACAGCTTCCCACATACGTGCTGATTCTTCATCTGCTGCTACATGAGCGTTACCAGCAAACACTGTAACTGCTATATCCTCCACTGCTACACCTAAATACTGAGAGCTCGTAAGGAACTCAAAACTCATTTCTATTGCTTCCTGCTTAAAATAATCTCCAAGCGACCAATTTCCTAGCATTTCAAAAAAAGTAAGGTGAGATGCATCACCTACATCCTCTATGTCCTTTGTTCGAATACAACGTTGACAGTTTACTAAACGCCTACCTTCAGGGTGCTCCTGTCCAAGTAAATAAGGAACAAGGGGATGCATACCCGCTGTAGTAAATAGTACTGTGGGATCGTTTTCAGGGATTAATGACGAGTCTCTGATCCTTGCATGCGATTTCTGTATAAAATAATCATAAAATATGTGTTTTAGATCAAATGCATTCATATTACTATTATAAAGAATAGAGGGTTTATTACTGCATTACGGTACAATGGGGGTACTGTATTGTAGGTTTCCTGCATGTAGAAAAAACTCCTTTTGGAGATAATTCTCAAGGTGGCGTGCAGCTCTCTTTGCCCCATCGATAAACCGCTGTTGTGCTGCGGGTGCTATGCGGTATCTGCTTTCTGGTATGATACGAGCAGGGATGTACCAATCCAAGCTTTTCAGAGGGCGTTGGAGAAGATATGCAAAGAACTCATTCATCACAAGATAATCATACTGCTCGTCGTATCCATTGTACGCAAGAAATGAGCGCCATACCCTTCTGTCTTGCTCGCTTATACTATTCCACTGCTTCTGCACCTCTGCTTGCAATGTTGTATCAAAAAAGTACAGCACATGAAGCAACTCATGGGTGAGTAAGGCGTGGATAAGTTCTTGGCTGTAGCTAAGTGCCACGCTTACCACAAAACCCTCTGCAGCTTGTATAGGTAATTGTGCAATAAATGTTGTATCATGCTTTTGTTCTACAAAGTCTTTTCTATCTAGTTCGGAAATCTGCAGTACAGCTTCTTCAATAAGTATGCGTTTTAGTATAAGCTCTTCCTCATTAAAAGGAAAAATACCCGTAACCTTGTCAAGCACCGGGAATACCTCTGTTCTCCCTTTTTCAAATATTCGCATAATATCTTCTGCATCATAATCGTGTGCGCCCCACCCCTCCCTATTCGCTGTTTCATTATTATATGTAATTTTATTACGTGTTCCTCTTTTTTCCACAAAGAAGGCAAGTCGCTTGAGATAACGTGCTTGAACCGCTTTATTCTTGAAAAAGAAAACCAGCACCTTAGGAAACGGCTGCCATCTAAAGAGCATGAAATCTTTCTCTGATTCTAAAGGGTTGCCCCAATGCGTCATAGCATGAAAAGAAGCTGGGAGGGCAGATTTTTTTTGTTTTTCCACACTAAACGACAGATCCAAATATCGCAACGAAAGAAAGGATCCCTGCTTTCTGCTTCCCGCAACAACAATGCGAGAATGGAGTTCTATGTCAATAAAGGGAATCTCTATGTGCTGCGGGTACCAGTACAATGTGTGTTTCCCTGTACGTATAATCGCCGAGTGTACTTGCTTCAATCCACCCGCTGTAGTAAAATGTATCTCGATATAAGAACCTGTTAGTATGGTCAATTCCTCTGCCAACGAATAGCGGAGTAGTAACACTTCGTCTTTAGCTAGAGATTCCTGAAGTTCTGTTCTTAATGTGGTAGAGGCGTATACTGTTGGGGTAATAGAGCAAAGCATGCAAAAGTATCCCAGGACACAGAATGCTATTTTAGTAGATGCTGTATTACAATACACTTTTTTTATTATAATATAGATACAGTATAAATAAAATTGAACCAGCATGCTAATAAAGGAGCATAGAACATGCAATACAAAATTACAATACAGGGAATGCACTGTGCTGGGTGTGCTGTCTCAGTGGAAAAATCACTTGGTAACATAGAGAGTAGTAGCGAAGCACATGTAAACTTACTAAACGGAACAGCAGTACTTCATAGCACAGAAAGTATTGCGTTGCAATCCATAAAAGATGCAGTAAAAGCAGTGGGATACAGCGCAACAAACATCGAAACAATAAGCGGTGCCACCACAGAAACTCCTAATTCGCAAGAAATCGCATCAGTACAACACACTCCATCTTCTCACACAAAAGCACACACGCGCCTTATATTACGCTTGGTTTTTGCATGGGCTGGTTTTATAGCACTTATGCTGCTTATGTTCACACATCAACAGCTCGCCCTCCCTCCATTTACAGCTGAACTACTTACGCTTCTTATATCACTCACTCTGAGTATAGGTATTGGGAAAGAAATCTTTCTGTCTGCATGGAATAGCTTAAAGAAAGGGTATAGTAATATGGACACTCTTACCAGTCTAGGAGTAAGTATGGCGCTTCTTACTGGTGTTCTCTCTTTACTTAGATACAACTACCCAAGCATTACTATACAAAACTTTTCTGCATTAGCAGGGATGATACTTACACTTGCAATTACAGGGCAATCGATAGAAAACTTGTTGAAAAAAAAATCTATTGGTGCACAGCAAGCTTTACTAAAACTTATACCTCAGTTTTGTACTGTAATAACAGAAAGCGGTGAAGAACGTGAGGTGGAAACGAAGAATGTTCGATTAGGCGATATGGTACTTGTAAAACCCGCTTCGCACATACCCTGCGATGGGGTAATTGTCCAAGGGGCTAGCACGGTAGACGAATCGCTGCTTACAGGAGAAAACCTCCCAATAGACAAAGGTGTGGGTGACAAACTTATTGGGGGGACATTAAATTTTCAAGGGCAGGTTGTTCTTAAGCTTATCCATAGACCCAGCGAGGGTATTCTTCAAGAAATTATACAGGCTGTAGAACGAGCACAAAACACTAAACCGAAAATACAAATTATGGTGGATAAGGTAAGCTCTGTATTTATTCCAATTATCTTTTGTCTTGCACTATGTAGTTTTCTTACATGGTTGTTAATTCCCAGCATACCTCTTTCTATTATCACGGCATTTTTCCGTAATACATGGGATTATGGAGGGAGTTTTAGCCTAGGCCTCCCCTTCCCTCTTCACGATATATACATGCAGCAGGCGTCGCAAGTAGAGCTTTCCAAGCTTATGGATCTAATTGCTACTTCCCGTCTATCGCTTGCGTTATACGCATCAATAACAGTGCTTGTCATAGCCTGCCCCTGCGCCTTAGGACTAGCAACACCTGCAGCCATTTCTGTG